GTTTCTTGATCTGTTGACAATCAACTTTTGGTGCAGCAGCAACCACAGTCTCCCATAAACTATTCAGAGAGGTGTACAGCTTTCCTTCAACGTAATTCTCCCATTGAAGAAGGGCCCAAAAGCTCTCAATAGGGTTTAGGTCAGGTGAGGAAAAGGGCCATGTCTTTATTCTTTCATTTATAATCACTTGCCTACTGGGCACCTATACCCCCTTCGTGCCCAGGCCAATTTTCAGCTTTCAGCGCTGTCGCACTTTGAATGACAATTGTGCTGTCATACAACATTGTGCCCAAATGAAATTGTTATTTTTTTCACACAAATAGAGCTTTCTTTTGGTACTTAATTGCCACTGTGTTTTATTTTTTGCGCTATAAAAAAAAGTTTTTTGTTTCCATTATAAAATTTAGCAAACAGGCAATTTTTCTCCTTCACTGATGTGCATTGATGAGGCTGCACTGATGGGGACTGATAGGCAACACTTGATAAAGGAAAAAGAAGTGAGCACCAAAAAACAATAAGCAGCTGATACACCAAAGGTAACCATAAAACACCTTGAAAGATAAATATCAAACACGGGTACAGTGCTAAATTAATAAATATAAACATAAAAACTTAGTAAAGTACCCATATAAAGTGCAAATCACATAAATGACAATCTGTATTAAAGTGCCGTATGTGTCACAATACTCCACTGTTAGAAGACAAAAAGTTCAAGGATAATGGTGACTGATGTATTCAGAATAGTCTCTAACAGGTGATCCGTGTGTTCCTGGATAATCATTCAGGTGATGTGCCAGAAGGAATGTTAAAATTCCGCACTCAGATGGCAGATCATAATACGCATTGCATATGATATATGGCCGGAAGTCCCCCTTAAAAGGTAGTCAGCAGCCTGGTAAGGTCCAAGAGATCTCCTTCCTCCCTGGTAATCTGCCACACAACTGCCGTCCTCCAAAATGGGCTCTAAGGTGGTATTGGCTCATGCAGAGCCAAAAAGAAGAATGCCCAGTGTAGTACTTCTTAGCCTTATTTATTTATTCAGAGTAAAGCATAACAGTAATACAGCACATGAGCTGTCACAATCACTGACCATGTAATGAAAGAAAGATGGCCGTCGGACCTCCTTGTGGTCTCGGCAGCATGACATCACCGCATATGCTCCTCCTCTACGCGTTTTGTGCAATAGCACGTATTCATGAGGGGTATGCACATAGGGCTGGAGACGACAATGTACTCTATTTATAGAAGAGGCGGCGTGTGCGCATACCGTGACCACCATATTGCCAAGGAGGCGAGTGCGCATATTGTATCCGCCATTTTGCCGGAGCTCGAGACGTCCGCGAACATGTGCGGGCGCCATTGTATCATAGGTTTTACCCATATAGTAACAAACAAGCAGCAGATATACAGATAAAGGGCACAAATTAATAAATAAATGCAGAGAAAATGTAAAGTATACTGGATCCACAAGGAGAATGATTATTACAAGATCCAAAGTAACTATTTAAAGAATATGAATATAAAAAATGAAATACCAAGTATCAAATATTTTAAAATTATACAGTATAAAATAAAAAACTGTAAAATTACAGAAGATGCTAATGTGCCCAAGAAATCTGATGCTGTCGGTATAATAGGGACAAAAACATGATAGTAATCCAATACAATTGAACAGATATGACTCATGATGCTAGGTACAAGAGAACATAAATAAAAAAATATAAAACATATATATAAATTCATGACAAATGTAAACATATATTAAATCAATAACAATTGTAAATTCGATAAAAACATGTGGACGTATCATGTTAAAAACATAATTAAAAATAATGATATATTCATATATTCATTAGTCATAAATAAATAGAAACACCCATAAAATAATATATGTCTAATGTGTTAAATTAGCATGTAGATATAGAAGATAAGTGAGAAAAATAAATAAAAAAGGTAATGCATTGAAATAAAATTTGCTATGGCGAATAAAAATATTGTGAGTAATAAAATGGATGAATGGAGCACAGAGGCAGAAAAACTAAAGAACTAAAAAATTAATGAAGCTAAAATATGAGAAGGTCACAATAGAAGGTCTTAACTGTTATCAATGAAGCAGTTGAGATCTTTGGGATAGAGGGTGCCCATCTCAAAAATTTGGATTTGAGTTGCGAGACCGCCCTTCTAGTGGTACCTCTCCAATGTGATTTAATCATATCAATGCCAACAAATGTGAGGGTGGAAGGGTCTTTATTGTGACATCTTTTAAAGTGCTTTGAGAGCGAATGATCCTTGAAACCTCTTTTCACGTTATATACATGCTCCCTCAATCTGTCACGCAGTCTTCTTGTGGTACGCCCTATATACTGCTTGCCACAAGGTCACCCAATAGATAAACCACAAACTGACTATGACGTAATGAACTTGTCGATTTTGTAGTTTTTTACAGAATGTGTTGAGGTAAATGAATGAACCTTCCTTTTACAGTGATTATTGCACAAGCATATAACACATTTGTTACATGGAAAACATCTAGTAACATCAGAGAAGAATGATAAACTAAGGAGTGGATTTACAACATTAGGCGCTATTATATTTCTTAATGCCATTGTGCGTTTGAAAGTCATCTCTGGTCTATTGGGTAATATTTTTGTAAGAACTGGGTCTGCCTTCAATATATCCCAATTTGTATTAAATATTTTGGTGATCATCTTATGTTGGATAGAAAAAGTGGTAACGAATGGGCAAGCTTTGGTTGGTCTCTGTACACCCTCATTACTTAACATATTTCCTCTATCAGCCTCAGCAACTAATTTAAGTGTCTGGTTTAGTTCAGATTCACTATACCCTTTTTCTACAAATCTCTCTTTCAAAATTGAGGCTTTTGTGTAATAGGTGTCCAGGTCTGAACAACTCCACCGAATCATGAGCAACTGACCTTTCGGTAAGTTTGACAGCCAAGCTGGGTGGTGTCACTTATCCATTAGAATATAACTATTCCTATCTGACTTCTTGAAGAATGATCCTGTGATAAACCTACCACCTCTCTTATGTAATGTTAGATCTAGGAAGTTAATCTGGCTCAAGCTGTATTCAAAGGTTAATTTAATATTCAAGTCATTGTTGTTCAGAGTACCAAAAAAAAAAAAAAAAAAAAGAGTCTGTTCATTTCCATTCCAGAACAAGAAGATATCGTCAATGTAGCGTCTGTAAAAGGACAACTCAGGCCACTCTCTGGAATAGATAATGTCCTGGTCATGAAGAGGTTGGCCAGGCTGGGAGCAAATTTTGCTCCCATGGCTACTCCCCGTGTCTGGAGATAGAATTTGTTGTGAAACCAAAAGTAGTTGTTCACCATAGCAAATCCTAAAAGTTGCAGGATAAAATCTTTCTGTATAGGTGGAATATTAGTAAAACCATCTAGATAAAAAATTACAGCTTCAATCCCATCTTTGTGATCAATATTACTATACAGAGAGGACACATCTGCAGTAACAAAGTGTATCATGATAGGTAGACAGGTCTCGAATATCATTAAGCATCTGCTTAGTGTCCTTCAGATATGATGGACTGCCGGTAACGAGGGGCTGGAGATAATGGTCTATATGTATTGACCTATTTTAGAGCATAGTGAGCCTATTCCGCTAATTATAGGCCTGCCCGGGGGGGTTGATGGGATCTTTGTGCACCTTCGGTAAAATGTACATAACCGGTAACTTTGAGGCTGAGGAACACAAAAACGCTTTCTCCTTTTTATTAATGATGTGGTCTTGATACCCCTTATTAATAATAGCCTTTAGCGCCTTCTTATATATTTTTTTATTTGCCATAGCAAATTTTATTTCAATGCATTACCTTTTTTATTTATTTTTCTCACTTATCTTCTATATCTACATGCCATTTTAAGATATTAGATTTTTATGAGTGTTTCTATTTATGACTGAATATATGAATATATCATTTTTAATTATGTTTTTAACATGATACGTCCACGTTTTTATCGAATTTACATTGTTATTGATTTAATATATGTTTACATTTATTGTCATGAATTTATATATATGTTTATGTCACGGAGTGCCCATGCCTCCCCCACCCCTTTGCCTGCTGTGACTCAGCCATATCCCTCCACCCCCCCCTCCCCCCTTGCACATTCCTCTGTCCTTGTAAGTTTCCATGAATGGTGCTGGGCCGGCCGTTGCAACCCGGCAGTGTCCCACATGGCTTTTAAATAGACTGGCACAGGAAGCAGCCTCTTTGTTCATGTGCACACTGCTGGAATCATCTTGCTCTCTCCGCTGAATGTCCCAGGGTGGGAGTCTCTGCAGCTCTGCATGAGCCCCCTCTTCCAAGGTCAGACCCCGTGGCCATGCTACCCCCGCTGCTGTTCCTGGCCGCTGTGTGGGCCCCTGCCTGCTGGTCACTGGGCCCTGGAGAAGCTGGCTGCTGCGAGGGCCCCTGCTGCTGATCGCTGGGCCCCTGGAGAAGCTGGCCGCTGTGAGGACCCCTGCCTGCTGGTCGCTGGGCCCCTGGAGAAACCGGCCACTGTGAGGGCCCCTGCTGCTGATCGCTAGGCCCCTGGAGGAGCCGGCTGCTGTGAGGGTCCCCAGAAGCTGCCTGCTGCCGAGCGTCCACAAGTCGCCCACCTCCCTGGAAGCCGCCTGCTGCTGAGCGTCGGCAAGTCGCCTACCGTGAGTGTCCCTAGAAGCCATGAACTGCCCGTGGTGTGCACACAGACTACCCGTGTCCTAAAACTGTCCCTGTTGTGCGCACCGACGTCCCCCATGTCCTGAACTGTCCCTGTTGTGCGCACCAACCTCCCCGTGTCCTGAACTGTCCCTGTTATGCGCACAGACTACCCGTGTCCTGAACTGTCCCCGCTATGCGCACAGACCACCCGTGTCCTGAACTGTCCCTGCTGTGCGCACCGACCATCCGTGTCCTGAACTGTCCCTGCTCTGCGCACCGACCACCCGTGTCCTGATCTGTCCCTGCCGTGCGCACTGACCACCCGTGTTTTGAACTGTTCCTGCTGTGCGCACTGACCACCCATGTTTTGAACTGTCCCTGTTGTGTGCACCAACTACCTGTCTTTTGAACTGTCCCTGCTGTGTGCACTAACTACCGGTGTCCTGAGCTGTCCCTGTTGTGCGCACAGACCACCCGGGTCATGAACTGCCTTACTACATGCCTAGGCTACCCTTACTTGAAACGCCCCATGGCGTGCCCAGAGTATAGCTACCTGTGATGCCCCTGAGTGCTTGAGCCATCGCTACCCGTTGAGTCCCCGTGAACCCGATGTCCCTAGAAAGCTGGGTGGGAGCTGTGCTACCTGCCTGTTGCCCGAGTCTCCAATCCGCTGTCCAGTCATGGAGGGAGCTCAGCTGAGGCGGGACCCTCGTGACCAGGCTCTGCCTGGGACCCCCCAAGCCTAGGGGGGAGATTGCCTGTCTGTTGCCCGAGACCCCTGCCCAGGGGTAGGTTGTCCGCCTGTTGCCCGAGACTCCAATCCGCTGTGCAGTCACGGAGGGAGCTCAGCTGAGGTGGGACCCTCGTGATCAGGCTCTGCCTGGACCCCCCCCCAAGCCTATGGGGAAGATTGTTCACCTGCTGCCGAAGACCCCAGTCCAAAGGGGGGGAGGGGAAGACCGCACAAGCCACCCTACCGGAGAAGACCCCCCGTGCCTGGAATAGTCCCTAGTTTGTGCACACATCACCCTCCCTGCCATTTCCCCATTGATTGTCTGTCATTTTGTTGTTTTAATAAAGCTTTGTGGGTTCCCCATCTTCTCTGCGTGTTCTGTCCTGCCTACGCTTCCGTGACAGTTTATACTTATGTTATCTTATACCTAGCATCACGAGTCATATCTGTCCAATTGTATTGGATTACTATCATGTTTTTGTCCCTATTATACCGACAGCATTAGATTTCTTGAGTACACTAGCACCTTCTGTAATTTTACAGTTTATTTCTTATACTGCATAATTTTAAAATAATTGATACTTGGTATAATTTTTTTATATTCATATTCTTTAAATAGTTACTTTGGATCTTGTAATAATCATTCTCCTTCTGGATCCAGTATACTTTACATTTTCTCCGCATTTATTCATTCATTTGTGCCCTTTATCTGTATATCTGCTGCTTGTTCGTTACTATTTGGGTAAAACCTATGATACAATGGCGCCCCCGCATTAGCGCGGACGTCTCGAGCTCGGCAAAATGGCAGATACAATATGCGTACGCGCCGCCTCTGCAATACGGCGGTCGCGGTATGCGCACACGCCGCCTCTTCTGTAAATAGAGTACATTGACGTCTCCTGCTCTAAGTACATACCCCTCATGAATACGTGCTATTGCACGAAACGCGTAGAAGAGCCGCATACACGGTGACGTCACGCCGCCGAGACCACGAGGAGGTCCGGCGGCCATCTTTCTTTCATTACATGGTCAGTGATTGTGACAGCTCATGTGCTGTATTACTGTTATGCTTTACTCTGAATATATATGGCTAAGAAATACTACACTATGGGCATTCTCCTTTTTGGCTCTGCATGAGCCAATACCACCTTAGAGCCCATTTTGGAGGATGGCAGTTGTGTGGCAGATTACCAGGGAGGAAGGAGATCTCTTGGACCTGACCAGGCTGCTGACTACCTTTAAGGGGGACTTCCGGCCATATATCATATGCAATGCGTATTATGATCTGCCATCTGGTGAGTGTGGAATTTTAACATTCTTTCTGGCACATCACCTGAATGATTATCCAGGAACACACGGATCACCTGTTAGAGACTATTCTGAATACATCAGTCACCATTATCCTTGAACTTTTTATGTCTTCTAACAGTGGAGTATTGTGAAACATACGGCACTTTAATACAGATTGTCCTTTATGTGATTTGCACTTTGTCACCTTATATGGGCACTTTACTAAGTTTTTATATGTTTATATTTATTCATTTAGCACTGCACCCCTGTGTTTGATATTGATAGGCAACACTGATGGGCAATGATGAGGTGGCACGGATAGGCACCACTGATGGGCACCAATAGACTGCACTGATGAGGTGGTAATGATGAAGCGGCACTGGTAGGCGGCGCAGACTGCCAGCCCTGACTGGAAGAACTGATAAGTGGCAACGATGGGGGGCACTGATCATCAGTGAAAACCTCCTCTGACAGCTGCCGGTTATCGGCAGTACTTTCCTTATGCTGTGACAGCGTGAGGAAAGTGCTTCCGATAACTGGCAACTGTATTTACTCTGTGAACTGCAGTGTCATTGGACACAGATGATCACTTGGTAAAAGGCAGCTGTGATTGGCCTTTTACCTCACCGTAGGACACAGCGATAACGGAGATTGCCACGTGCGCGCCCCTGGGGGCTCGCAGGAGGGCGTCATATGACACCCTCCCAGAACTGGGTAACCACACTGTAGCCGCCATTTGGCTATAGTGCGGTTACCAAGTGGTTAAAGCCTTTATTGGTAGCCACGAAGTGGAGTACTTTGATGCATGTGATGGAGTATTCTCTTGCATAAATATCATGGTTTTCTTAAAAGATGGACTTTTTCCTGTAACACTGCTTGAAGAAAGTGTCTTCTAAAAACTGGCAGTCTTTAATAATACCAGCCCATTAGAGTACTCCACCTCCACCTTGCTGGTGTCTGAGTCGAAGTGGAGCTCTGTGTTTGTTACTGATCCAGCCACGTGCCCATCCATCTGATCCATTAAGAGTCACTTACATCTCATCAGTCCATAAAACCTTTGAAAAATATGTTTTCAGATATTTCTTGGCCCCGTCTTGGCGTTTCAATGTACAGTATGTCTATTGTTCAGTGGTGTTTGGGTTTCAGCCTTCCTTACCTTGGCCATGCCTCTGAGCACTGAACACCTTGTATTTCTGGGCAATCACTCCAGGAAGGTAGCTTTATGTTAGATTCTTCCCAAAACTTTGGCAGTTAATTTGCATCTTTTTTTTTTTTTCTCAACACGTTTCTTGCGAACCTGTTGACTAATTGCAACAAAATGTTTGATGGTTCTGCGATCACGCCCCAATATCTTAGTAATCCCTCTGTTGCATCCCTCTGAAAGACCATTTACAATTTGTGGCTTTACAAAATCTATGAAATCTTTTCTTTTGCCCATTTTACCTGAGGAAAAGAAGCTGCATAATAATTGTGCACATGTTGATATACGGTGATGATCTCCTTAGGCCACACCCTCCCTCATTACACAAATAGGCATCACCTGATATGCTTAGATCCAATATGCATTCAAGATTATACAGCTCTGGGTAAAAATACTCACTTGCCTAATAAATGTGCATACACTGCATTCTCAGTAAGATAGTCGTGTTAAGGACATTCACACGTTCCAACCATGTGAGGGCTAATTTCAACCAGGTTTTAAGATTGCGATCTATATTCTGAGCTGCCCACAGTCGCATTAATAAAGAAAATGTACATTTGCAGAGATATGGGTGCCAAGATAAGGTAATGACTGTCTGCGAGGTAAAGGAAAAGTTATTTTCAATTGGGACATCAGATCGGGTCGAACTATGATTGGCAGTACTTCATATTTGGTATAGTTCATCTTAAAATTGGACAGATGGCCATATACAGTGGATATAAAAAGTCTACATACTCCTGTTAAAATATCAGGTTTCTGTGATGCAAAAAAATGACAAAGAAATAATTTCAGAATTTTTTCTCCCTTTAATGTGACCTATAAAATGTACAACGGAATTGGAAAACAAACTGAAATCTTTTTTTTGGGGGGGGGGGGGGGGGTAAACAAACTAAAATAATGCGGTTGCATAAGTGTGCACACCCTCTTATAACTGGCTCAGAGCTCAGCTGTACTAGGTCTTTACTGACATTTTCTTAGTCGCATCCTTCAGCAAACGCCATGGTCCATAGAGAGCTTCCAAAGCATCAGAGGGATCTCATTGTTAAAAGGTATCAGTCAGGAGAAGGTTACAAAAGAATTTCCAAGGCATTAGACATACCATGGGACACAGTGAAGACAGTCATCAAGTGGAGAAAATAGGGGCAACGGTGACATTACCAAGAACTGGCCGTCCCTCCAAAACTGATGAAAATATGAGAATAAAACTGGTCTGGGAGGCTGCCAAAAGGTCTACAGCAACATTAAAGGAGCTGCAGGAATATCTGGCAAGTACTGGCTGTGCGGTACATGTGTCAACAATCTCCCGTATTCTTCATATGTCTGTGCTATGGAGTAGAGTGGCAAGACTGAAGTCTTTTCTTACAAAGAAAAACATCCAAGCCCAGTTAAATTTTGCAAAAGGACATCTGAAGTCTCCCAAAAGCATGTGGGAAAATGTGTTATGGTCTGATGAAACCAAGGCTGAACTTTTTGGCCAAAATTTCAAAAGATATGTTTGGAGCAAAAACAACATTGCACATCACCAAAAGAACTCCATACCCACAGTGAAGCATGGTGGTGGCAGCATCGTGGTTTGGGGCCGTTTTTCATAAGCTGAAAAAGGGGCCTTAGTCATGGTAGAGGGAATTATGAACAGTCCCAAATACCAGTCAATATTGGCACAAAACCTTCAGGCTTCTGCTAGAAAGCTGAACATGAAGAACTTCACCTTTCAGCGTGACAACGACCCAAAGCATACATCCAAATCAACAAAGGAATGGCTTCACCAGAAGAAGATTAAAGTTTTGGAATGGCCCGGCCAGAGCCCAGACCTAAATCTGATCAAAAATCTGTGGGGTGATATGAATTGGGCTGTGCACAAGAGATGCCCTCGCAGTCTGACAGATTTGGACTGTTTTTGTAAGGAAGAGTGGGCAAATATTGCCAAGCGTGCTGTAATAAAATCGAAAGGTGCTTCAACAAAGTATTAGTTTAAGGGTGTGCACACTTATGCAACCATATTGTTTTAAGTTTTTTATTTTTACTTCCTTCCACCTAAAAGATTTGTTTGTTCTTCAACTGAGTTGTACAGTTTATAGGTTACATTAAAGGTGGAAATAGATCTGAAATGATTCATCTTTGTCTAATATTTTTACATCACAGAAAACAAACATTTTAACAGGGGTGCGTAGACTTTTTATATCCACTGTATCTGCAGTTCAGCTATTAGAATCAGAAGAGCAATATGGGGCTTAAAAAAAAAATTCAAGAGTATGTCATCTGCAAGAGTCTGTTCGGTCGATCCCACAAGAACACCTTTAATATCTGCATTCTGTCTGATCTTTCATAAGAATGATACCAAAACCAAAATGAATAGTAATGGGGAAAGTGGACATCCCTGTCAAGTACCATTGCAGATGCTAACGGGGCCAGAGAGGGCACCGTTCACCTTCAGTCTGGCTTTTGGGCA